TCATACGCCTTCCACGCATATCTATCTAGAGCCAATTCCATCCAGTGAATACGTCGAGGATAATAGAATCTAGTCAATTGATATTCCCAGACACAGTGCCACGAAAACTTCTGAAAACCATGTTTTTCTCCTTCTCTTTGTTCAGTTACAGCGTGTTGGTGAGAATTCCAGTTCAGAACATGACCCAGAATAGAATCAGGATTCTGATGAGCTTTACGTGCGATATGGCCAGCATGCCTATGAAGACGACGCCATACTATTACATATAGGTCCTGGATGTGTTCAGCAATCTTGATTTTCTTAATCTGCGACCTGACCGACCGAGAATACGATTCCTCAGTTTCTTCTGGTAGGCGAGGCCAGCGTACGTGACGAGCAAATTGTTTTGTCTGAGCCGCCCGCAAAGCCAATGCCTTGCGTCGGCATAGATTCCAGACTGGTGAACACCATAAGCACGAAGATGATACCGTACGGTGAATTAAGCGAAATCTAGATATACGAGTGCTTGACGGACTAGAAAGTAAGTGCTGGACAGATCCCACCACTGATGTAGCCGTGAGCGTTTTAGTGCGAGCATCTTGATCCAGTTGTCCACGAGCGTTCATCCATATGCCAGTGATCTTCATCGTTTTATCATGAAAGATAATCTCAACAGCAGGCCATATCTTGGACCAAGGATGTTTTTCCTTGGTATTGTTCACCAAGAGCGTGATGCGATCTTCAGGAAGGCCCCAGCCATACAGAACAAGTGCTGCACGACATCTCTTCCATATCTCACGCGCATCCACGATACTGTTGGCCAGTATGAACAGATTGTCACTCCAAACCAAGAAGGGAATAAACTTGAAATTGCACATTCACGATGACCACAGTAAGCAACATCCAGCATCGCAATGCCAAGTCGATCTGCCACACACTTCTGCCATACTGGGTGTAGACAATCAGTAAGCACCATTTTGAAGAAAGCCGGCCCCCAAGCAGACCCTTGAGGAACGCCGCGGGTAATGGGTGGCGTGGTAGCCGTGTCACCCACCAAGTGAACATTATATCGAATAGATCGTAAGTGCCTGAGAAACCAAGCAGCAATAAAATCTGGTACACCTCGCCTTTGAAGGGCACGCGAAAATGGCATACAAAATCGAAAGCCTTAGGAATATCAGCAAAACCAACAACACAACCAAGTCCCCCTTGCATGCACTTCTGAGCCATCATCATAATAATGAACACCATGTCCATGACGCTGTGCCCCTCACGATAAGCAAATTGCCAGGGAGCGATGTCATGAATATTATCCTTGATAGGTTCAAGAAGGGCACCTCCCACCATCTTTGGAAGCACTGGCATAATCGCCAGCGGCCTTAGCAAGTTGAACCAAGTGACCAAGCTCTCCTTCGGAACCAATGCCAAATCACACAAAGTCCGCTGGGTGTCCATGCGCGCAGCCGCAACATGTAGGGGCGACCTGCCAAGCACTGTCTCTTCCGCAACACGTCGTGACTATGGTCGAGCTGAAGACGATGAGGCATAACAGTGCAGAACTCACCACGAAGATCACGATCAATGGCTTCTTTAAGTGTCCAAAATGGGTTCTCCACTCGCGTGCCCTTCGACGGTAAAATAATTGACGGAGGGGCGTCGCGAACTTCTTCGTTCTCTGCACACTCCAAGAGACAAGGGCAGCATCGAGTACAAGAGTGTTGTAAGCCAAGTGTGAGGGGGCTACATAGATCGTAGTGGTCAGTAGCTTCCTTTGCCAGAGAGAGTCTGCAACCTTGTTGAAACAGCGACGGACATGACGGATGCGAACCCTTCCCAGCCGAGCGATGAGAACAAGAGCCGATGATCGATCAGCCCACGTACGACTATCTAAGACAGACCATAGTCCCGCAAGCTGGTTAACGACTGGGTCACAATCACCTTCGATGACGAAATCATATTGAACATCCTCGTTCCGATGCCCAAGAGCGATCTCCAGGATGAAAAGTAACCCATGCCATTCAGCATCAATCGAAGAGCTCCCAGGAGAAAGCCGATGTGAAAAGCAAAACATTTCCACCCCCATACCATCATATAGAACACAGCCACATCCAGCATTGTCCTCATCACGCCGAGCCCCATCAAACTGTCCGACCCAGGCTCTCCCATAAGCCACAGGACCCATATCCCCAAAGTCAATAGTTTTTGGCTTAGCTGAGGGGGCGGCGGCACCTTGCATGGCAATGGCCTGCAGCATTTCGGCAGCAACCATATCTTCAGAGCAGCGCGACTTGCGAGGCTTAAGTAGCATAGTACACTTTAGGATTTAGGAGGTGAGATATGTTGAAGGTATTGTTCATCTTGAACTTGCCATAGATCCAGGAGGGAATGTTAAGGAGGTTGGAGCGAGATTCAGAGAACTGCTTGCTATAATACTTCTGACCAACATCGACAATCTCCGACGGGCGGGTTCGTGATGGACCTATCTTCTTTTTTCAGGGTCCCTCAGGGCCAGTGAGGTGCCAGAGGCCTTCTTGCCCCAGCCCCCGGCTCGCAAGTTGCTTAGAACAGCCCGAGACGCCGCATGATGCTTAAGGTCGCGCAGCCGTCGCCTCTCAGCCCATACTTTACGAGCGCATGCAATCTGCTCAGCCTGAGTGGGAGCCTGTCGCCAAGCCGCCTCCAGAGCATGAAGAAGTACACGATCCTGACGCGCAGCAGCCCGAGCACTCATACTCTTCCCAGTGTTGACTGCAGCCTTCCCAATGGTTCTCGAGAAGTCCTCCAGCGTCATATCCGAAGTGAGTGAAGAAGCTATCCCTGAAATGTACTCTTCAGGTTGCTGAACTCGCCATCCGAGAGGCTTCTTCTCTCGCCAAACGCGTTCGCGTTGACATTCGTACTGCGTGATGAGCATGCGGTGGTCCGTGATCGTCGCAGCAGTGTCCAGAACTTTAGTCTGTCTTACTCTTGCCCGACATGCTTTGGAAACCATAAAGCCATCAATGAAAGAGCCGTGGGGCAAGGTCTGGCCCGATCCAAACGCATACCTGGTAGGTGCACCTCCCCGAGGACAAAAGGTGTGAGAGAAAGCCAGCCCGTGCTGCATTGCTAATAAGAGAAGCCACTCTCCACGTTCATTTCGTGTGCCACCCGAGAAGTCCCCAAGATACTGATCCTCCTCGTGAAGTTCTTTAGGGCCAAGCTCAGCGCTAAAGTCAGCACCCAAGATGAGAGTATCACCAGGCATATGTGTCGAGATGTAGCCAAAGATGAGGTTGGAGGTGTCATAGTAGCATTCTTCAGAAGTAGGTTGAGGAAGGTAAGTAGAGACAAAGAGAAACGATTTGTCCTTGATGGTGGCCCTCGCCACCGTCACACGAGGATGTATAGGTTCTGGAGCTTTGTGAACACAATGAAGGTGACGCCGATGAAATACAATGGCACATCCACGGTTCTGTAGAGTGCCTGGAGAAGTTATGACAAAATGTCCTTGAATTGAATTCGGTAAGTTCGTCGAGACCGCAAAGACCTCCTGCAAGAGTAGCACGTCCCACTCGCACTCCTCTGATATACTTTCTAGAAACCCACTGAACGCGTCAAGAGCCATCCCACAGCAATTGGGCGTAACGACATTCAAGTTCTGAATGACCTTCTTACCCCAAGATTTAGAAAGTCTATCTCTAGTCCCGAAACGAACGGCGCGCCTTGAAGTCCTGCTTGCTCTGCTCCACTCTCTGCTGGAACGTCTCGTCGTCCTTAAGATCAGACTGCTGCAGCTTGGCATTGAAGTTGGCCAGGGTGAGCGTCGGCAAACCCATGGCGTTGATATACGCAACCTGTTTGCGCTGACCCATCTCATCAGGAAGCCTGATCTCGCGCTGCGGAAAGACAATCTTGAATCGGCCCCCTCTGCCATCAGCCTGCGAAAGCACAATCGCCATGTTCACCAGAGTCGATGTCACCTGACGCTGCTCCATCGACTGATGCTTCTCATCCACAAACGAAGTCCAGGAAGCGGAGGGCCTCCATCACCACCAGGAGCAGGAGTATACTGCGCCTTACCACTGTCAGCGCCACCAAAGTTGTCCCGATCGACGCATTCACGATGCTTCCCCAATAGTGCCCAAACTGCACGATCATCACGACAATACACTGCTGCATGATTCCCAGGAGAAGCGCACCACTTACGAGTAATAGCAGTTGGGTCCACCATCGAGCAGATCTTGTCCAGGTAAGGTAACATCTCATCTTTGTCTGAAGCCTCAGGGAAGCCTCCAATCACGATCTTCAGGGCATCATCACCCATGGGCGGACCCGTGGTGGCCCAGCAACGGCAGATGCCGTACTCGCAGGCCTTGACCCTGCTTGAACCTCCTGAGCGACTCGAAGAGCGTCCGCAGCCATCTTCTGAGCACTCTGAGCCGCCTCAACAGCTGCGTCCGCCTTCTTATCCACAGCCCTCAAATCATTTTGCACATTCTTGAGTTTAGTGTTCACATTCCTGTCCATCCCCTTCATGTACTTGAGCAGGTCGGCATTCATGATCTCTCGCGAGGGTGACCTGTCTGCACGTCGCCTATCCTCATCATCGGACATACCATCAGTAGACATAGCAGGAGAGCCATCAGCTCCGCGTTTAGACATGAAGCGAAATAAACCGACGGACCGTCCGCGCGCGGAGTGCGGCAGGCGCTGCTGATGCCAACAGTGCTTGAGCCAAAATGGCTTGAGCCAAAAAAAATGGGAGG